GTTGTGTTGTCAGCATTATGGCAGTTGGCAGCTGCTCTCCACTTAATTGCCTGAGACCAGGATAGGTAGGACAACAGCCAAACGGTAGCCAAAAACATTTTGGCTACGAGCTGGCTGGCTAACTGGCTGGCTGTCTGGCTAACTGTTTGGTTTTTGTGTTGGATTTCGTCGTATCAGCGTCCTTTGATTTGCATATATTTCGGTTTTAATTAGTTAACAAGCTGCTTTCGTTTGTTGCGATTGCATGTTGAACCACGACGCATATCGTAGATGCTACAGGTATCTGCCACAGTCGCAGCCGCAGCTACCACAGCTACAGTTTCTACTGCTGTTGCATGCACCAGAGGCAAACTCCAGGCCAGCAGAGAAACAGCGAAACGTATAAAATCAAACACGATTTTTAGCAGTTTTCAATTCCCGGAAATCTTGTACGATATGTTGCACCACCACCACCAACATCACCAGCAGCAGCAGCAGCAGCCCAGTTGGCTGGGCTATGGCGGATTGTGTGGATGTTGGATGTGGATTGTTGTGGCAATGGCTACTTCGCCAGCGCCAGATACGATTCCAGTATCGTGCAAATGTTTCATTATTTAACAGATCTCAGCCAGAGAAAGAGAGGGAGAGACGCAGAGAGATCTTATTGGCTGCCCGGTCCAGCTGGCTGCCCTTGGTCTGGCTGCTGCTGCTGCTGCTGCTGCTGCTGGGAATGCGAGTGTGAAATAAGGCGACAAGACAAACTTGAGCGCAGAAATACCAACAAAAATTCCAAGATGTTGTCATCAATTAAAGCAAGCGTTGGCAGCAGATGCTGCGACGCAGCTTCACACCTGAGCACTTTATTAGTGCAGCAATGGGGATTGAGCTGCGACTGCTCCTCCTCCTCCTCCTCCTCCTACGATCCCTGTTCCAGCCCTGGCTTTGGCAATTGCTGCGTGAATTATGGTTCACCTATGGCCTAGTGCTGCAGCCGGCTAAGGCAAATGGCGCAGCAGATAAAAGACGATAAATCACACAAAAGGCAGACAAGGCCAAGATTCTCCTGCGCAAAAGAAACAGAGTGAACGAGAGAGAAAGAGAGAGAGAGAGAGAGAGAGAGAGTGGGGCACACACTTGCAGCTGAAGGTGAAAATCAAGCATAGGCGGGCGCTGCTTAAGCTTAACTTGGCCAATTCAGCAGAAAAGCCAGTGAGACAAACTTATTTGCATTTGCTCGGTTGTCAGGCCAAGTTCTTGTCAGCGTATCCTGTTGTTATACCCTGAGCCCACTGCATATGCCCAAAATGGGTATGATGTGTTTGCGCATACTTATGCAACAAGCAGGAGGTAGCTGCTTCTAGCCCGTAAGGCATATATATATATATATATATATATATATATATATATATATCTGATGAGAACGTTACGCTAAGAGAGCCGAAGTTAAAAAAGGCTACATTTCCCATATACATATATATACGATCAAAGGGAAGAAGCAGCTCAGATGTATATGCATATTAAAGCTGGACTATTTATAGCGGCAGCTGACATGCAGGGTATCTGCTCGTCGAGCACGCCCGACTAGAGCACTCCTGCTTGTTGTTTTTTTTAGCGATATTTGCTACTGACAGCCCAAAAAACATGAAAATTGTTGCCCACGAGTCTGCCAAGTACGCCAGCCAGCCAGCCCGAGTCCAAGTTCGAGCTTGAGTCCAAGTCCCAGTCTGGGCTCGGTCTTTTGTTCATCTTGTTAAGGTTTGAACTTTATGCCTGCTGCTGTTCTTGTTGTTGTTGTTATTGTTGTTTGGGCTTATTGTTTTAGCCAGCCTTTCCTTTTTTTTTTTTGGTTCTTTTTAGTGCTGCAATTCCAGGAACTTTTCAGGTGGCACAGCATGTTGGGCACAGACACACTTTTGGTGGGCCCAGCATTGTGGGGACCCACAGTGCTTGCAATTAAAATATATTTAGGCATTATAAGGCAACAAACAGTACAGCTGGCAGCCAGATATATTATCGGATATATTATGTGATAAGCTTTATGTATTGCATTGACATTGGCTAATTAATATGTTATTAATATATAATAGTTTGGCTCTGCGCATTTTTATGGTCAACACCCCGCCCAGCTTTTGGCTTTGACGGCTTTATATCAAAGGAGTCACGCGGCTGACTGGCTCTCTGGCTGGCTGGCTGGGTTGGTGGCTGGCGTTGGCGTCTGTGGCGCATACAAATCATCGCGTTCCCGTTGCTGTGCTTAACGCTGGCCTGCAAAAATATTTAAATGTTGCTTGCCAGCAGCATTTTAGTTTGGTGGGTTTTTTTTTTTTGTTTTGTTTTATTTTTTTTTTTTGCATGTTTTTAATGTCATTATATAATCAGCACAAGTCGCACAGAAATCGCATTAAACAGCTAGAATTTAAGTTTTATTTTTTGTTTTTTTATAGCCACAAAACATAATTGAAATTTAGTTTCTGGTTAGCATATTTCTTTCGTGTATGCGTAATGTTTTGTTATGTTTATGAAAATTTATGAGCTTGTCCAAGCACGAGCACAAGCGACCCGTTGTCGCTGTTGGAATTGGCCAAGTTATGGCTAGTTATGTTGTTGTGGCTTGCGGCCGAACAGCAAGCGAGCCAAAAAGGCATAGCCGCAGCTGAGATGCTTATCGGCGCAATGTTAATTTCCAGCATTTAAAAGTGTAATTAACTCAATTTGAATTATTTGATATGGTCGCGCAGGGGGCGCAAGGGGGTTGAGTGGTAACCAAAACAAAAGACTTAGGCAGCGAACTTGTTGCGCAGTGCACGCGGCTGCGGCCGAAAAGGAAGCAGGAAACCAACATCGCAGGCATGAGAATATTTGCTTATGAGTCACACGGCTCGTGTCGCACAGTTGGCTCCTCCCGTAGCCGCAGTCAGTGCACTTGGGCCCAGGCACTTGACACGTATTCCTGGAACACGGCCTCTGCACACAGAATTTCTAATTAGCCAGCCAGGCGTTCGTTGCTGCTGCCAAAGGGCTCTGGTCTGTGCTGGGTTTCGGATTCGAGCAGTTAGGAGTATTTATGCGTTCAGATTCGTTCGCATTTGTGGCATCGATCAATTGTTGACTTGCTCCGACAACTGGGTGGCCAACTACCAGTCTTGTGCAGCGCCTCAAATGCGGCTATAAATTATGTTCAATATACGCTCGGAATAGCTGATGACCCTTTTCAGGGCCTAGGCTAACAAAATATGTTGTCACTTGTCGTGATTCATGGGTCTGAGAACTGTGTGCAGTGCTCTTATCACACTGGAACCATCACGAATGCGCTTGGAAAATATATAATAATGTGCACTTATACCTATACCACAAAGTGTTTTTTAAATGCGATAAATATACAGATATTGCCGGACATCGTACGGGTTGGATGTAGCATATGTGTAAATTCGCGTTAACTTCAAATATTCGCACAATTTAAATGTATTAGTTTAGCTTTTTTCTTTCTGAATAATAACATAGTAAATGAGAAATTATTAATAATTTAAAATTTGTGTTGAATTCGAACCAACGACCTGCTACTGGCTCACGTTCGCGCAATATTTGTCTGCGTTTTTATACTTTTACTTTCATAATTTTTTCCCCTCTCCCACAATGAGATCGAAATTACCCCAACCCCGTATCAGTGCTCACTTTTTACCCAGAAGAAAGCTTCATTACGAAGTAAGTCAGTCGGTCAGTCAGTTTTATATAGAGATTCTCCCAAGTCAAGCTTAGTATGCTATCCTAAGAAAAACAAAATTTAAAATAATCATACCTGTTTTATTTTCGTTCCTTATGCCTCGTTCTCGACTCCTTGAAGCGCTTATCCTGACTTTTGACAGTAGAAATCGGCGATATTAGAATACGTTCCTTCCTTTTCCCTCATATATATGCATATATAACACAAACTAATGCTAAAAGTCGACTAAGACTCTCTCACAAAAATGAAATTTCTTCACATTCCATTTTAAACAATTAACGCACATAACAATAGTTTAAATTTAATCAATGAAATACATTTTGTTCAAATTTTTGTAAAAACAGATCATAAAACATATGACTCAAAAATAGACAATATAGATTCAAGGCAGCTAATGAAATAGGAAAGCCCAGTTATCATTTTCGGCCGAACATTAATACACGTCAATTAAATATCTTATCGCCGAACTTTAAGCCTTAGACAATTTGAGATGTTTTCCCTATGAGCATGTATCCTAATTAGAAATATTGCAAAGTGTGAAACAACTTCCATTTTATTGCAAAAGTCCATGTGATCTTTTAAATTGCCATAAGATTGCCTGTCTGCATAAAAAGGAATTAAGATCAATAAAAATAGTTTTGGCTTATCTTTGCCAAAAGTATCTTATCTGTTCGTCTTATAGCATACTTTTGTCTTTTGCTTGCATACTTTAGGGCTTAGTTCAAAACACATACATACATATTTATTGATGAAATAATTGCAGCGCATCTCACATACGAATATCATTGTCTTAATAGGATTCTCTATGTTTTAGCTGTTCTTTTATAATAGTCTTTATTAGTTATGCTTTGTTCGCTTCTTGGGCGTGTTCTTTGTCAGTTAGATAATGTTGTTAATAATTGGAATTGGTTATTAAAATATAAATTATAGTACATAAGCTTGATTTGACCGTATGTGTTTGTGTGTGTGAAAGAGATGTCATACATAAAGCGTGCCGGCGCTTGCATTTAAAGTTAACGCTCACAAAATTCGCTGATACAGAAACAGAACAATAGGTATATGCACGTATCTTACACGGGAATCAATTATTATTAAATATTAATTTTTGATAATTATACTTTTTTCTTTAGCAATGGCCTTTAAGCTTGCAAACATTCTATTAATTGATTTGTGTTGCAAGTATGTACTTTGTATATATTTTCAAAGTTATTTCTTTTTTTAAAAAATTTTCGCTAAGCAAAAATGTAAACTATAAATATAAATATTTGCATATTTATTACATATATAAATCATAATTTGTATTTGTATTTGTATATCTCTATATATATATATAAAATGATAAAAAAATTAATAGTTTATAATCACACCAATAAAACACTAAACATAAGCCTAACTATTGTTCATACAAGCAACAAATTGATAGACACCAAATTCAACGGCTGTATGAGGTGAAAGCACATCATTATGCAAAATACTTTGCGATTTCTCGCTGTGTACAATGTGATTGTATAAGTCAAGGGTATATATTTGTGTGTGTGTGCGTGTGTGGGTATGTGTGTATGCTTGCGTTTTTATATTCATTTTTATACAGAATCCGTTGGCTATTTTTCATTAGTCCTTTGTCATTTGTGAATTACAATTCGAGATTTTTGGTCCTAACGACGAGTAACTCCCGCCCACCTAACGCGAATTCTATGCACTGCACCATCAACACTCTGAACACGATCTACAATTTATCATACAAACACACGTGCCAACAATCATAACGAGCCATTGCAATAACTTTTGCTCATAGAATCATTCTCATACATCAATTAACAGTCTACTTTAAATTAATATACTGCAAATTAAGTTAGTTGTTCAGTGTGTATGCGAGAGAGTGCATAAATTTGTGTATATCTGAATGTGTGTGTGTGTGTTTGTGTGTTTTTTGTGTTAGGCTATAATCTAACGACTTTGGCTTTTCGAATGCTGAATTAACCACTGCAGCGTTATGTCGATGTTGTCCTTTTCCTTACACGAAATACTATAACAACAAATTTCCCGATCCTGTATGCTGGACAGATTCCTGAAAGCAAGAAATTAAAGATATATATATATGTATATATATATGGTATATAGCAGCCACTCACATTCGCTCAATGAGTCCGGTCTCGTCAAGAGCGCCTGGAAGATCACGTTTATTGCCCAGGACGAGCACTGGAATGCCATTTAGCTGCGGCTTGTCTAGCAGCGAGTGCAGCTCATTGCGTGACGCTTCCAATTTGTCCAAATCGGCCGCATCGACCATATAACTAAAATACATAAAAGATAAGGCGGGTAATGTGAGTGTACACAAAACTTAGATAAAGCTGAGTTTCTTACACAATTGCATTCACGCCGCGACAGTAGCGTTCCCACATGGAACGAAAACGTGGTTGGCCCCCTATATCCCAGACCTTGATGGTCACGTTGCCTTTGGTGATTTTGCGCATATTGAAACCAACTGTGGGTATCATATCCTCTGCGAACTGACCGGACTGCGGGTGAAAGAGACATGGATAAGTTAAATTCATACCCTGCTAAGGCTTAAGAGATATCTTATCACAAAAATACAGAACTTATGCCAACCAAAATGTTTGATGTGGGGTTCACAGCTGGAGCCCTTGCCTCGTCTTAAGATTCGTTTGTTTAGTCTTGTTTTCCATATCATGATTTGGGGTTCTTAGATTTCTAACATTTGTCATCAGCACAATTATTCAATTTATTATAAATGTATGGTCCCAATGCTTAAAAACTTTTCTAAATTCCGATTTTTATAAGATGTAACAAATCGAAGCTCAACAAATTAATTGTATCTGCAAATTGATTGTATCTGCTCCAGGAATAGTTTTTGTACAAAACATTATTTTAAGAAAAAAAAGTTTAGAAACAATATGCTGTACCTAACACAATTACAACTTCGGCGTTAGCTGGTTCGTCTCTAGAGGTAACACTGTACAATTACTATAATAGTACAGTTATTGGCTGTGGGAGTTTAATTAACTTAAACATTCTATAGAGCTGCAGGCACATGACTCACAACAAAGGCGTACGCATATTATTTGTTTTGTGTGCAGCTTAGATGCCAGGTTTTAGGTCCGAATCTGAGCTTATCAGTAAATAGAGCTTAAGAGCTTGGCAGAGCATGTGCTGGGAGCTGATAATGTCGTCATTTATGCAAATATGTGTATGCCATGTATTGATTAACGCCAGACACAATAAATATGAGTGCTAAAAGAAGTTAGCATAGCGTCAATTGTTAACTCTGTGAAAATCAACAGCACAAAAAGTTGATAACTGCGTGACGTATTTTGAAACAAAGGCAAATCAATAGAAAACGGCCAAACAACAACAACGCTCGATTTGTCACAATTTGCGCCTGGCGCCCCGCGCTTCTCCTTCTGACCGAGGCATTTGGTTTATTGGTTTCTTTCTATGGCCATTGCATTGTCAATGACAATTTGTCATAGCCTGCGGCACACTGCTCTGCTGAGCCCCCGCCCGCAAAGAACAGCCGCCGCCCCACACACACACACTATTTGCAAAAAGAAAAAAGCATACTCACTGCAATAACATTGACGAACGTCGTTTTGCCTGAGAATTGCAGGCCGACCAGCGTCAGTTCCATCTCCTCTTTCCAGAAGATGCTCTTAAACCAGTCCAGGATTCTGTTGATAAGCGCCAGCATGATTCTTCTGTTTTGTTAATTTATTTTTTCCTTGCAAATAAATGGCGTAGGCGAAACAGCAGTAGAGTTGTATCGGAACACGTTTAATCGAACTACTGAATCAAATGAACGATTGACAATATTGTTCGTTCATCTAGTTCGCTACAAATATTTCGTTCTCCAACTTTGTCACTGTTTTCTGCTATAGATGTTGCATTCTCACTTTACACAATAGTACACAATATTTTTCGAAAATGAATGCACTTAACTGCTAGACAACGATATAAAAATGTGTTTCAAGCAGGCGTTCAGCCACGAACTGAACTTAACAGCTGCGAACAGTCAAAGTCCACAACAGAGCCAGCTGTTATTTAACAGCAGTACAATAATCGATGTAAATAATCGAATAGAAATCTTGTATTTCGTGGAGAATGGCAGTTCACGTTATAATTCTATCAATTATCGACCAACAACCACAATCTGGAACATAAACAATAATTAAAAATGGTAAGTAAACGTTTAATTAATCAAATTATTATAATATTCCATAAGAACTGTTTCATTTCAGGCAAGAAATGCGGAAAAGGCAATGTAAGTATGCTGTATATTAGGAGAAGCACCTGCATTTCACTCTTACCTATTTTGCTGCCGGCAGGACAACGTTGGCGCGTTGGCGAGCCGCCAAGGAAGTTGAATCGGGTGAAAAGGAACGACGTCCTTACTTGGCTTCGGAATGTCACAGCCTGCCCAAATGTGAGAAGTTTCGCCTGGAGATTATACGTGAAATATCCAAGAAAGTAGCACAGATTCAAAATGGCAAGTGATGGTTATATTGTCTATGTGGAATCTTTAAACTAACATCCAGTTTGCAGCTGGCTTGGGCGAGTTCCGCATACGCGACCTTAACGATGAGATCAACAAGCTGCTGCGCGAGAAGCGCCACTGGGAGAATCAAATATCAGCGCTCGGCGGTCCACATTACCGTCGCTATGGCCCCAAAATGTTTGATGCCGAGGGCCGTGAGGTGCCGGGCAATCGTGGCTACAAGTACTTTGGCGCGGCCAAAGATTTGCCCGGTGTACGTGAGCTCTTCGAACAGGATCCACCGCCTCCGCCGCGCAAAACGCGCGCCGAACTGATGAAAGACATTGACGCCGAATACTATGGTTACCGCGACGACGAGGACGGAGTCCTGATACCGCTGGAGGAGAAGATTGAGCGAGTCGCCCTGCAAAAGGCGGTGCAGGAGTGGCGCGACAAAATGGCTCGCGATGGCCGCATTATTGACGAGGAGGAGGATGACGAAGAAATCTATCCGCTCTCAGGGCCAGCACGCGAAGCTGCCGAAGATGCCAAAACACGTGCGGCAGAAAATGATCCGCTCGGTCTGCTGGCGCCACGTTTCACTGCCCATGTACCTGTGCCCACACAACAGGATGTGCAGGAGGCGCTGCTGCGAAAGCGCAAACAGGAGCTATTACAAAAATACGCAGGAGTTGCAAATTAATTAGATTTTTATAATACATTTCCTACACTTTGTTTAATGTATATTTTATACACTGGAAATCTAGGAACTGATTGCATATGCTGGTTAAGTACATATTTAAAACTATAAATTCGAGCGCTTCAATGCGTTGTCTTGTTTTGTTTTCAAAACAATAATTGTCTTGTTGCTTTAGAGCAGAATACAAATTTCGTCAGATTTAGTAACGATCACGACGGCCGCCACCGCGCCCGCCGGCACGTCCACCAACAGCTCCACCTTCGGCTGCACGACGTTGTTTCATGGCCGCAAAACGTTTGGACATGTGACGCAACTCCTCGGGCACTTCCTGGGCAGCCTCTTCCAATATGGTAATCAGCTCCTTGGCAATGCCCCAGTCGTCGCGTGTAATAAAGCTAATGGACGTGCCAAGGCGTCCGGCTCTGCCCGTGCGACCCACACGATGCACATACTCCTCAATGTTACGTGGGAAATCGTAGTTGATGACATGGCTAAAAGCGGACAGCAGGATTAACAGTTATAGATATAATATACTTGTGGCTCACCCACGTTATGTCCTCAATGTCCAGACCACGCGATGCCACATCGGTGGCAATTAAAATGCGTACTATGCCCGATTTAATATCTGCAATAGCCTGTTCACGATCGCTCTGATCCCGGTTGCCGTGAATGCATTGTGTGGCGAAACCATCCAGGGATAAATCACTGGAGACATCATCGGCGCGAGCCTTGCGGCCACAGAACACAATTATCTTGTCCGTCTTGGACATGTTCTTAACAAACGATTTAAGCGCATGGAACTTATCCCTGTCATCCTCCAGAAGTTCAATGACCTGCTTCACGGAATGCGTAGCGGCCAGATCCAGTGAGCCGACGCACACCTGTATGGGATCCTTCATATAGCTTTGTGCCAAACGGCGCACACCTGGCGGCCAGGTGGCCGATGTCATTATGGTCTGCCTGTCCGGCCGTATGTCGAGCAGAACTTTGCGTATCTGCGGCTCAAAGCCCATGTCCAGCATGCGATCCGCTTCGTCCAGCACCAGATAGGTTATTGACGACACATTGACAACGCCGGCCTGCACCAAATCATTTAGACGACCCGGCGTACAGATTATAATCTCAGCGCCACGTTCCACATCCGAAATTTGCATATTACGGTTGCCGCCGCCGTAGATGCAAACACTGTTAAGAATGAAGACAACAATCTATAGATATTCCTGTTTCTAAGCGCAACACATATTCAAACACAATCTCAATACGCTTTGCAAGGGCAAAAACAAAATGTTTACAAGCATTGAAAGAAAAAGATGAAACGCAACACTCACGCTTTCATTTGGCGGAAGGAATACTTCTTCACCTCCATTTCGATCTGGAGCGCCAGCTCACGTGTGGGCGCCAAGACCAGGACATTGGCGCCACCGCGTGTGCCACGTGGCGTGCTCTGGTATTCGGTGTGTATCATGCCGGGCAACAGAAAGGCGAGCGTTTTGCCTGTGCCCGTTTGAGCGATGCCAATCATGTCATGACCCTTGAGCAGAATGGGCCAAGCTTGCGACTGTATGGGCGATGGATGCGCAAAGCCCTGCTTCTGTATTTCGCCCAGCAAATCGGGATATTCGGCAAAGCACTGCTCGAAAGTCCATACAGGATTGGGTATGGGCGTTGGGCTTTCGCCCTCCTTCGCTTCAAAGACATGCGAAACACTAATATTGTTGTTCTCCATGCGTATGCGTGCCACCTCTGCCTCGGACAGATTGGCCACCTCCGGCAACTCTTTGTAGAAGTCCTTTATCAATTTCGGGCATTTGGCCCAGCGTGCGGCCTCAGCTATTTTCTGTTAACAATGGCATGATTAGTTGATGGCTACTCTTCGTTTAGCAGTGACTTACTGATGCCTTGTTTAGGCCTTCCCAGTCGATGGTGCCCGTCAAGTCGCCATCGGCTGCAGTTTCTGGTCGTGCTGCCGACGCTGTAAACTCATAATTGCTTTGTCCGCCGCCATTGCTCTTATGGTTGGAATGACCATAGTCATCGACTCCTTCGTCGAAGCGACCATAGCCTGCACCATGGGAACGCCCATAGCCGCCGCCGCCTCCATCAGACTGGCCATAGCCTCCTTCGTTGGAACGGCCGTAGCCCGCTCCTCCTCCTCCTCCTCCCTTGCCGCTGATGTGCTTGCGTATCTCATTCACAGCATCGCTGACATTTAGTTGAAAATTACCAGAGACCTTAACCAGAAGATCGACTTTATCTACATTGATGCGCACTGTGAACTCATTCTGAATGCGCGCTATATTCGAACCACCGCGTCCAATGACTCGGCCCACCATATCCGTGGAGATTTTTAGCGATTCGCTGAAAGCGTGCTCGGCAGCGATCTTCACGTGGCTGTTTCCATCTCTTTCGTAATTATCGCGACGCTTGTTACTGTAAATCTCGCGATGCTCTCTGTCGCGTTTATTGTGGCTGTCATATCTGCCGCCGCTGCGCCGACCCCGAGAATAATCATCTTTGTAATTCTCGTTATATGTTGATTGCGAGTATTTTGCGGGCGGCTCCACGTAGTTTGGATCATCCCAATCCAATTCAGACATTTTGCAATTGGAGCTGCCTTTTACTTTATTTTTACGTTATTTAAATCCTCGCTGTTGCGAATATGTTAAATTCGAGTACTTGCAAGGTCAGCGTTAAAACGGTAAATTCCCTTTGGTACAGCAGCCAAAATGGCGTTGTAAGCGTAACGCAAAGTCTAAAACGCAATAAGCGTATCGCCACAGTCAGCTTGAGTAACAGTAATATGTTAAATGTAGCTGGGCTGTAAATAACAAATTTATTTATTAAAAATAAATACCTTTGATACATATTACACACACAATTTACAGCAAGGCAAAGTCGGCAATACAAATCAAACAGGCGCTCGCAATGAACACGAGAATTTGCCAGGGCTGTATCGTAAGCAGGGTTGTATGCGAGCAGAGTTGCTCACGGATATATAACAGACCTGTGTAACAATCATTTAAGCGCCAAAATATAAATTTGAATAAAAATCATTTGATATTTTTTGGTTACTTTTTTATGTTTTCTATTTACTTAACGAGTTACACTTTTTGGGTGTAGAGCCTTAAATTAAAATATGCTTAAAAACTAAACCAAATGAATTCAGATTGCATACAACTCTCTCGCTCCCTCTCTTTCTCGCTCTCTCTCGATCATCTGTTTTTATAAATAACTAAAACTAGTAAAACACAAACACAAACCAAACAATGTTGCTTGCTCACTTTAAAAAGTTAAAATTTACAGTACATACATGCAATAATAAGTTTAAAAAGTGTGACTGAGTGTGTGTGTGTGTGTGTGTGTGTCTGGGAACAGTAGTCGCATAAAACTTAGAACAGTTTTGACAATATAGTAGATAGTACGCATCTTTATAATTGGTGATTTGGATATCTAAATTTTCGGTACAGGGTATTTCGTTCTGTGGCAAGTGAGCAGAAATATTTGCAGTGCGATTGTAAAGTTCATTGTAATTTTTGTTATGCATATGATTATTCTGTTTACAATATGTATAGTTAAGATTGGCTTATCATAAATTATACTAAATTAAACATTACGAGGTTTTTAAACAATTTATAATAGCAGCACAAGATTTAAAAGGTTGGATGCTTTTAGTTTCAAGTTTTCTATTTTTCTTGGTTTCTTTTTTTCCGTTCTGTTTTGTTTTTCTCTTTTGCTGTGGTCTAAGATACATTACAAAAGATTTACAAATTACATATTAGACTATATATTCCGTTTTATGCTCAATGAATTTTGCCCCAGTTTCGAATGGGAAAACATATTTAGGTACAAAATATACACGCTCACATCAAATAGTCAATCAATCAATCAATCGTTCAATCAATCAATCAATCCTTTCAATCAATCCATTGTTCTGTATACAAACATACAAATTTCGCATCACTTAAATGTACACATAAGTTTTATTTTATTCACAGCTAAGGGCCGGCGGTGGCGCCTCCGCCTGATGGATCAATCACTCGACGTGGCCGCCACCAGGTTGTTGTTGTTGCTGCTGCTGCTGCTGCAGTTGTTGTCGCCGGGCGTAGTGGGCGCCGCTTCGCAGCTGGGCGTGGCTGGCGCCTCCCGCTGCAGCGGACTGCGCAAGCTGGCATTGTGTATGGATATGCAGGATATGGATTTTGGTATGTTTGGCGTATAGTTGGACTCCAGATTGAGCCTAAGCTTGACGGGCGAGTTACGCTTGAAGAGCGCCAGCGGCCGCGAGGGCGACAGCAGCGCCGGCGCTGCCGGAGTAGCGGCGGGTGCGGGCGTAGCAGCAGCATAACTATTGGGCGCACTAAAGGGCCGCGACGATGACATGGAGTAGATGCCGCTGCTGCTATTGGAACAGGGTGAATCCAGTTCGGTGGCAGCCGCAGCTGCCGAAGTGCAGGGCGTCTCGTCCGGTGTGATGGGCGGTGAGGTTAGGCGCGATGAGCAATTGCTGCCGGCAAAGCTGCCGGCACCGCTATCCACATCATCATAATCATAGACATCCTCATCCATGGCCTCGCTATCCGATTTGGATTTACTGTGCAGCGGGCGCGACGTTGGCGCCAGATGTGCCACAGTAGCTGCCGCCTCCTGCTCGGGCTGCTCCACGAGCTGACTAGTTGTGGCCGCTAACGGGGCTTGCGGCGTTTGACTGCTGGCAACGGGTGTTACGGGCAGCGGCGCCAGGACGCCGCTCTTGCGCAGACTCTGCTCCAGCTCGAGCAGTTGGCCCATAAAGTTTAGATTGGGCGAAATGATGGGCCGGGCCACTTTCACCAGCTTGTAGGCCTCCAGCAGCGAGAGCGACTTGTACCGCATGACGTAGGCAATGGCGATGGTGGCGCTGCGCGAGATGCCCGCGTGACAATGCAACAAGACGCGCGAACCTGTTTTGCGTGCATCCTCTGCAAGAAAGAGAGCGAAGGAGTAATTGTTTAGCATTTTTTTTCTTCATTTTTTTATGAAAATTACTTTCTTATCAGCTGATAAGGCGCCACGATTTGCATCAACAAATGCCAATTAGTTGCGCCATGCAAAAAATAAATAAATAAATAAGAACTGTGGTTCAGCAGCAGCAGCTCGAAAAATTTATCGACAACGCAAAATGATTGCTGCCAACCTACGCACTGCTCTCGCTGCTCTCGCGCTCTCTCTTCCTCTACAAACACACACACACACACACACACACACACACATACACGCAGGCTGTGCCGCTCACAAACTTGCGCATGTATTGAGTTGGGAGAAACTTGTTGTTGCCGCGGGCTTTTAAGCTTTGATGATGTTGCTGTTGCTGATATTGGTGCTCGCTCAGTGCTGTCAATAATTTGTAATTGTATGCGTATATTGCTCTCACGCTAGCGTGCGCGTGTGTGTCTGTGTGTGTGTGTGTGTGTGTGTGTGTGTGTGTGTGTGTGTGTGTGTGTGTGTGTGTGTGTGTGTGTGTGTGTGTGTGTGTGTGTGTGTGTGTGTGTGTGTGTGTGTGTGTGTGTGTGTGTGTGTGTGTGTGTGTGTGTGTGTGTGTGTGTGTGTGTGTGTGTGTGTGAACTGTTTGCTGTGCAATGGATGAGTCATGCAGACGCAAAGCGCTGCTGCTTTATTGACAAACACAGCAATCGAGAATATTTACAGACACACACACACGCGCGCGCACATTAACTCATAATTTACGTTGTTATTTTTGGGCAAGATAAGCCAGTCGAGCCAGCAAGGCAGCGTACGCAGCTTCGAGCTGTTTTTTGGGGTGGTGCTTGCTGAAATAGCAACCACCCTACGCAGCGCAACATTTATGCCTGTGTGGCCGGCTATCTAATCGCAATAGGGGGGCGCGAGCACAGGCCTTGCAGTTGCTAATCAATGATTACTCATACAGACACACTTGTATACACACACACACATGCATATGCATTTGTATATATAAACATGTGTGTACACACTTGTCTGATTTCCAAACACGCAGCGCAGCTGATAAGCTGCATTTTGAGCCTTGCAGTCAGTCAATCGTAATTAGTCATCGCTTGTCGTCAGCGGACACTTCACCAGGCTGGCGCCCCTGTGGACCGTCCAGCCGTTATTTACACTACGCCCACCCTGCCCCCTTTTTACACCACACACAAAAAGAAAACAACCAATAATTGTTATCAGTGATAAGCGTTTTGGGAAGCTACACATCGCGTGTAAATCCGCCAGCAATTGCGCCTGGAAATTTCGAGTGGTTCGCAAAGTCAATTTACCAGAATACAAGCGCAGTACGCACACACACACACACACACAGAGGCACATTCGATCTATCAATGAATGAGTGCAAAGTGTTGGACTGATAAGAAACGAGCTTGACTGTTTGCTGTTGCTGTACGTACTACGAGTAACGGTATTAAAAGCAACATCGAACAAAATAAAAAAGCTGCCTTTCATTCCATTGGGGTTTCAAGTACGGCCCGGAAAAATCAAATCAAGTTAGTTAACGCTTATCAGCACTAAGCAATGATAACCGTAAAAAAATTGATCGAATTGGCAAGCGACTGGGCAAACAACGATGATATTGCAATTATGAGTTGTAAGGGTGGAAAACCCACAATAAATAATAAGAGTCATAAATAATATAATAATGATAATCGCAAGCTAGGTACAGTGAACACCTGAAATGTTCCTCAAGATAGTACGTCGTCTTACCTTCTCCATCCCCCCCTCCCTTAATTCGAATAAAATGTTCTTAAGTAACTTCGTTGTTTAAAGTCCGTTCTTCGAGAAGTTTTTGGGGCTCTAACTTTTCAAATGAGTTTAGTCTAATTTGTGGGTAATGGGAGTTGTCCCCCTATAGTTGTTCGCTATTAGAGTTTCACTGTAATAAATCAATGATAATAATAATGATAATGCTAATAATAATGACAATGATAATGAATAATACAAGTGCCTAGTTACAAAAGCAGCTCTCGAGTACATCAGCTGCCTCTTTTGGGCCTTCGATGGTGTCTATAAATTCGCTATTTTAGGCTAGCCAAAAATAAACACACTCATCACAGATATACACACACGTGTGTGTGTGCGTGTGTATGCGTGTGTGTCTTTTGTCGTCAGCAGACAACTGGTCACCGTGCTCATGGTGCTCATAAATCCTCTTAGTTAATGACCCCGTCGCTCAGACAGTTAAAAACGCGCATAAAACGCGCCTGCCCCAAGTGACTCATTTGCCAGGCATTGGCCACAGACACTCGAAAGAGAGCGAGAGAGAGAGAGAGAGAGAGAGAGAGAGAGTGAGTGAGAGAGAGGCCTCAGACAGTGGGCCAAGAAGTATTAGCCCGTCTTGGACTAGCCTAAAGATTTACGCAGCGAAACAGGCAACACTCGAAGAGGGGGAAGAACTTGCCAAGCAACTTGATGTTTTAGCTCTACTGTGAGATCATTTTAAGCGGAACTCGGAATTAACTCATAAATCACAGTTGAGTAATAGAACAGCTCAAGCATCAATTGATAAGGATAGTGGAAACTTTAGATGAAGGAAATCTCAAGAAATATGCATAATATAACAGATCGAATGAGCAAGGAAATAATTTAAGAAGAATGTAATAGTTAATGTTTCTATAGGATCTATATGATATAGACATATGGTTCAGATTTCTTGAAAAAGATTTTTTCTCGTTACATTTTGTTGTCCTATGACACAATTTGACTTTGAAATACGAGTTAAAATGAATTGTACTGTCATTCCGGGAATTTGTCTAGGCTAATCTTGAGATTAGATTTTATTTGGATTAAGCAATGGTATAGTCATAAGCTCTATGACGCAAGCTTTATAGATAAGACTGAAAGATCCTTGTTTGTGCTTTCATATTTTATTATGCAATACATATACATAT